GAGCTGAAAACACTCCACCGCTCTTCTACCATTACCATCAAATGCCCCCTTGTGTCGCATGGCAGCGTGGGGGGTTGAGTTTCCAGCCTTCCCAGCTTATTCTACTCTATGTGGGGAGCTGGGAAAGCCCATCATACTACTTCCACAACCAGCCAGGGCCCAGGAGGCCCAAGCCAAATATCTCCGCTGGTGAACCCGAAGCGCATCACAGGGGGCCGTGGGGGATCGAATGGACGCCACGAGGCATTGGAACTCTTTTATCTTTCTTGGATTCTCTCCGGGTTAACACCGCTACTTATTTCGACGTCTGGTCACCGTCCCGATACCGTTTGGCACAGTCCAGACCGATACCGAGGCTCTCCAAATCATTTCCTGCTGACTTCCGAATCTCATAATAGCCTCAGCGGTTCCGGAGGGTGTATGGCTAGCTTTGGGATTCAAATGTCCCCGTCCCGATACCGTTTGGCACCGTCCAGACCGATACCGAGGCAGTCCGTCAGCAACTCATAGCCTCAGCGATTCCGAAGGGTATATGCTTAATAGGAAGATCATCCACCATACCAAGTGGCAGTCCGCAACAACAGGCTAGCTTTGGGATTCAAATTCCCTGATTTTCAGTCCCAAATAAGTCCCGAACCATAGTCCCGGTTCTGCTGCGCTATCCTGATAAACCAAGTGCCATTCTAGCTACAACAGGCTTGCTCTGGGATTCCAGTTTTCCCTGGTTTTCAGTCACAAACAAGTCCCCGACTGTAGTCTCGGATCTGCAGTGCTGTCCGTCCCGATAAACCAAGTGCAGTCCCCAACTTGGCTATATCCACGTTCATACGGAGTGCTGCCAGCCTGCGTCGTCCTAGAATATCCTAAAACCATTGAACCAAGCTTTTTTTTCGTTTTCTTTTTCTTTTTCTTTTTCTTTTTCTTTTTCTTTTTTTAATACACATTCGTACAGAATGCCAGCCTACATTAGCTTAGAATATTCTAGAACCGAGCTTAGAATATTCTTTTTCTTTTCCTTTGTACGGAATGCCAGCCTTCATTATTTAGAATCCTTCATTATTTAAAATATTTTAGAACCCAGCTTTACGCCAGCCTAGAACCATGTGACACGGGTTCTAAAATATTTAAAATATTTTATGCCAGCTTTTCCTGTGACTGGCAACTATGGTTCCACCCCACCCCATTGTGACACGGGTGCTTTGACCTGGGAGCCCTTCAGACCATACCGTACCCCCCACTGGCACGAAGCTTTGCCGTTAGCTACAGGGCCCAGGGGCCAGGGGCCAGGGGCCAGGGCTGCACAATGCACAATTGAACATCTTTGGGAAGCCCTCTGCAGCAATTAGTTAGAAGCCAGCTTGTACGGCGGTTACCACAGGGCAAAACAGCTCGTACGGCGGTTACCACAGGCACAGCGCAAAACAAGAAGAAGAAGAAGCAATTCTAGTAGTTCTGAGTGACGGAAGCAGTTCTAGTAGTTCTGAGTGACGGAAGCAATTCTAGTAGTTCCGAGTGACGAAATGCAAATGTATGCCCAGTGACGGAAGCAATTCTAGTAGTTCCAAGTGACGAAATGCAAATGTATGCCGAAAGTACGATACACACCTCTCCTCCCCCCCTCCCCCCCCCTTTCCGAGTCATGAAATGCATGGCCAAAGTACGATACACACCTCCCCTTGCCGGAAAAAAAGAAAAAAACGATTGATGTCATATAAGAACTGCGCCCGTACGAAATCATTCTGCCTAGCATCCATAAAGCAATTGACAGCAAGTCTATCATGCAGCCAACTTCCCTGCTCAAGCCTCTAGCCCTTCAAAATTGCTTCTCCAGCGACTTTAACGCAGCCTAGTCATTCCGAATAACACTTCCCCCCCCCCTCTGCCGTCTTACCGCGGCTGCTGGCACGGAGTTAGCCGGGGCTTCGTTTTTGGCTTTTGTCATAATCTCACCACCAAATGAAAGAGCTTCACACAAAATAAATCCCCTTCTTCACTCACGTAATATTGCTGGATCAGATTTCGCCCATTGTTAAAGATTCTCCACTGCTTCTAACTGCTTCCATCAAAAGGCAAAAGGCACTCGGTGCATGGAAGTAATATTGCAATCGATGACATTGTCGATGGTGTGCAATTGTTGGGACTTGATGCCTATCATTGGCTAGACAGGTGCGTCTATCCATCAGCTAGACAGGCTGTGTGTTATTGTACGCTCTGCCTATCTGCCTACTTCGTACAAGTGAAAAACCAACTGGTTTGGGATAGTGAAGCTCTTCAGCAGACATACTTGCGATGTGTGACTCTTGCGATGTCTGACTCTTGAGTGAGCAGCGACTAGAAACGTTTCCAACTTTCTACTCTTTTTTTCCCACGGCCGCTAGCGGGGCCAAGTACTGGTGGTTCAAGTGAACTGCGCCGGATGAAATGAACAGGTTGAACAGCTAAACAGGCAAAGGACCCGATTTCCAGCAAGTGCAGCTCCCCACCAAAAGAATGGAGCAAATAAAAAAAAAACAAAAAAAAAACAGGCAAATACCCCCACTTCTCAGCCCCAGGTTAACCCCCACAGCTCTGAGAACAGTGAGAAGTGCATTTGGGGATATAACTCTTTTTTTCAGTGTTTTCTTTTTTTTTTCCCCCTGTTTGATTTCTGCGTGTGCCAAGTTTGGCCAGACCTGAAAATCCTGGAAATCCTGGAAATCTGAAAAACAAAACAGCGAATTTCGCATGAAAGCACACTTTTGCCCCAGGTTAACCCCCACAGCTCTGAGAACAGTGAGAAGTGCATTTGGGGATTTAACTCTTTTTTTGAAAATTTTCAGTGTTTTCTTTTTTTTTCCCCCTGTTTTATTTCTGCGTGTGCCAAGTTTGGCCAGCCCTGAAAATCCTGAAAAACTGAAAACAAAACAGCGAATTTTGCATGAAACCACACTTTTGCCTTCGGTTTTAGACCCTTTTATCAGTTTTTAACCCTGAAAATGTAGGGCTCTGTTAAACGCTTCCCTTCCCCATCAACATCCAACCATGTCTCTACAGTCTATGCAGACCTTGCCCCCCTCCCCCAGCAACATCAACCATGTATGCAGACCTTGCCTTCACCCTCCCTCCCAGAATGAAGTTGTTTCTTCCCCCCCCCTTCTGAAAGTTCTCCCCAGAAATCCAAATAGTACATACTACGGTCAAATAGTACGGACATATGTTCTGTTCGAATAGTTCACACGTATGTTCTGTTCGAATAGCATGCACGTACGTTCTGTTCGAATAGTATGCACGTAGGTTCTATTCAAACAGACGTGTTCACATGGGTGGCAGCTCTCTCTCTCTCTCTCTCTCTCTCTCTCTCTCTCTCTCTCTCTCTCTCTCTCTCTCTCTCTCTCTCTCTCTCGGAATGCCCTATCGCTCCCGCCGACTAGCTCCCTCCCAATTGCTCTCCCGCCCTATACAGGTACTAATTTTTTTGGGCCCCCGTTTTCCGAAAGTTGGTACCCTGTATCCGTAGCATAACCCATAGCGCACGTGCGTTGTATTCAAATATAGAATGCACCCCGTGCGTTCTATTCGTAATTAATGAACATGCGTTTTGTTCGGGGGAAGACTGTAGTGTTCAACACAGTGGCAATTCAAATGGCAGCAAAGGAAGCAATGCAATTCGAAAAAGAGGGGGGACAGCAATCCTGAAAGAAAGGGAAGATAGCAATGACAACAACGCTGAAAGGGCCACTCCACTGCTCTTGAAATGTGCAAAACGAGATTGAATACTCCGCTCGAACATCGAAAGATACAGCGCCATGATTTTTGTCTTCTGTGCATGTCGAGAGCAGTGGAGCAAGGCTGAAAATCATTCAATAACAAAAAGGCAGAGGAAAAGGAAGAGGAAAATCATTCAATAACAAAGAAGGGGGAGGGAGACAAAGAGGAGGCAGAGGAGAAGGAAGAGGAAAATTATTAGAGGAGAAGGAAGAGGAACGGCAGAGGACAGAGGAGGATGAGAAGCAGACAAGAGTGAGAAGCAGACAAAAGTGAAGTTTGGGGGAAAGCAGTGGGGAGGGAGAGAAGGTGAATAGGGGAGGAGTGAAGGAAGAATGGGCTTTAAACTGGAGGAGAGGCGAGGAAATACAAACGAGGAGGGAGGAGGAGGAGGAGGAGGAGGAGGAGGAGGTCAAATCATACCGAGACACTCGAAGTAAGTCATAGGCCGTTTAAGACACACAGAGACACTTGAAATAAGTCATAAGGCGTGGGGTATTTCTTCCACAACAAGGCGAGAGGCAAGGAAAGAGAAACGAGGAGGGCAGTAGGAGGAGGAGGAGGAGGTCAAAATCATACCGAGACACTCAAAAAAAGTCATAGGAAGTTAAAGACACACAGAGACACTCGAAATAAGTCATGAGGCATGGAGCTATTTCTTCCACAACAAGGCAGCTGTGTGTAGGAGACCTCAGCTGGTCCACAGAGACCGGATATCCACCGCAGACGAGCCCCTATCGGTTCCCTTCATCCATGGCGCATCAGACAGCTCCGAAACTGGTTCCACTACTAATCGGCTCATTACTTGTTTGCTATGCTGCTCTTGCATTTCGCTAAGACACATCTTACACATAACCTCTACGCCACCTCATCCCCGCATTCTCACTCCATTCAAGCCCTACAGTGAAAGAGGCAGTGCAGTGGATTTCCACCTGCAGACGATCCAATCCAATAGTCTGCTGCTCTACTCAAACAAGCAAACAAGCAAAACAACTCACTCCATTTGGTAAACCACCAATAACAATACCTCTGGTTTTCACCTGCGCACCGTCCAACTGGAATTCCCCAGTTTAAACCATTGCAGTACGTCCTAAAGTCGTGCGTGCCAGGCGATAACGCTCCACAATTTTAGCAAAAGAACGGGCCACTCACTACAAGAGTGCCCAAATCCATCCACCTAGAAACGTTTCTACTCTACGTTTTTTCCTTTTTTTCCATGGCCTCTAGCTGGGCCAATTGAGAATGCGAACGAAGTGGCAATACAGTTTGCAGCACTAGGGTGCCAACAACTACGGTAACCCTAGTTCCAACCCTCCCTCGCATCGCCTTCACACTTCACACCCTTCTCTCCCCTCCACTTCACACAAGGCACACAGTACCCTAATAAGAGAGATCAGAGATCTCATGTGCCTGTGTGAGGCGTGCACCCTCACCCTCACAAAAAGAACCAATTGCCCCTCGCAAAAAGAACCAATTGCCTGAAGATGGGCACTTCATCAACAATGGCACAGTGTGCCTGCAACCAATCCCACCTGCTATTGCTGTCGGTCAAACCCAATCCTGCCTAATGCCAATAAAAAATGCCAGCTGATAGTCAACTTGCCACACCTTAGGAATCAACGACTACCTCTTTCAGTGTAGACACATCTATAATGACCGTACGTTGTTGTATTCGGGGGAAGAAGGTATAACCCTCTTACAATGGTGGCCGGTCCCTCAGCCTACAGAGAAGAAGATCTCTCATAAACTGTGGCTTGGACATAATTCAGGTCTCAAAACTTCCTGCCGTGCCCTTATGCTGAACCCAAGACAGAAGCAGGCAAGACAGAAGCACGCACGATAAACTCACGAGTGAGGGATGGAGAAAAGGGAGATCAGAAAGTTTTACCCATTAAAAAAAAAAAAACAGAGAGGGGCAATTAGATGAATCATGTCTACGGAGACCACCTCCCCACAAGCTTAAGCCCTTCAGTCTTCACCCTAAAAGAACGCCCCGGTATCTAGACCGAAAGTTGCACCAAGTACGGCTGAAGAACGCCCGGTAATTATCCCTCTGTCTAGACTAGCAGGAGTTGCGGCGAGTAGAGTTATGATGACCAGGCCTTCTGTTAGGGTGACGACGCTAGTTCAGGTCACACAAGCTCCTTCTTCTACTCACGCGACTGTTCAATTCAAATATAGTTATGGCTGGCAATTATCCCAGCAAGCCAGCCCCATTCCCTCCCAGGGGCCTGCCTTCTTGAAGCCATGCTTGCAGCCCCATTCCCTCTCAGGGGCCTGTCTTCTTGAAGCCATGATTGCACCCCTTTTCTGACTGACTAATTACCGACTTTCCCACAATAGACGGCGGGGTCATGATTGATGTCCCTCTCCAAGGCAATATTTAGGTCAGACCCAGATATGCCGGCCCCCCTCCCCACTTTCTACTCATCAAAAAAAATAAAAGGCCGTCTGTAGCCAAACAGAGCAGAGCCCACTAACCAAGCAACAGACTATCGACTGCAAGAAAAGAATGAACTGCAGAGAAGGGGAACCAGATTCGAATCTGTCTAACGTCCACGTGGCAACCAGGCACCTCCGAAACGTTGGGTATCTGATCCCCCGTGGCCCAGCTGAGCCCTCCTACACAAGTTGCACACAAAACTCCCTCCTTTCTCCTTTCCCGTTATTGATACATGGGCTCAAATCCCGTTTTATGATCCATGCTTGAATCTATACCTCCATCCCTCTTATCGAAGGTCTTTCCATGTACAGACCCGAAACAACCTATTTAAAACTCCTTCCACACAAAACTCTCTCCTTTGCCGTTATTGATACACGGAATACAAATAGTATGCTCAAATCCTGTTTTATGATCCTTGCTTGAAGCTATACCTCCATCCCTCTTATCGAAGGTCTCTCATCTATTCGTTCTTCCTTCCTTCCATGTATGGACCCGAACCAACCTATTTAAAGCTCCTTCCCACCATAAAGACTGTGTCTAAGACTTCGACAATCATGCACTACACTAGAAACAAACAAACTAGAAACAAACAACACTAACCTGTGACGACCGCAGATTCATTACATCAACGGCAAAAAAAGAATGTAGCGGCGTGCAATTCCATTGCAGTCGAACGAAAACCTTTCTCTTTTCTCCCCACTGTCTTTCTACACTTCCTCCTCCCCCGTAAATCAAACAACACCCCTAGATCGTGTTCTTCTGGAAAGAAGAGACGAAAAAACGACGAGAAGGACGCACGCACACACAACGAAGCACTCATGGAACGGAAAGGACGAGGGGGCATGAAGCCCCGCAGAAAGCGCGAGATCTCAATGGCGAGAGAGGGGACATGAAGGCCCGCAGAAAGGGCGAGATCTCTCGCCCTTTCTCTCGCCCTTTCTATACAACTTGATGCCAACTCTACCTTTCCGTCTTCGTTGTGCGCCGCCCCCTCCTCTTCCAACTGTTCTTCTCTTCTTCTTCCCTTCTTCTCTTCTTTCCAGAAGGATCAAACATGCGAAGCAACAGCCATTGTAGTGTAGTATCATGTCTCCAAGATAGTACCATTCTCATTCGAGAGAGCTGTTCTATTCCTCCTCGCCTTTTGTAAAAGAACGAAACAGAGGAAGGATGGCGTGGATGCTTCGTTGTGCGCCGCCTCCTCCTCTTCCAACTTTCCATTGTAGTGCAGTGTCATGTCTCCGGGGTAGTATATTCTCATTCGCGAGCGTTGTTATAAACCTCCTCGCCTCTTTGTAAAAGAACGAAACAGAGGAAGGATGGCACGCAACTGCAGTACAGAGCAACAACCGGGGTAGTTTAGCAACAGGGAGAGAGAATCCACCGGCATAATTTTAGGGGAGAAAATCCACAGGGGTAATCAATCTAGGGAAGAAAATCTTCGACCTTCCCTTTTCCCACTGTCATTCCCTCCGCCGCCAGGAACTTCAAGATAGCTTGCCTCTGCCAGCTCTTGAAGCTCTTCGAGTCTAGATTGAAGACAATTTTTCCGCCAGGGAATCCCCTCCTGGTTGAAGACCATGCCTCCTTGATTACTTCCCTCCACCTCCCCTTGATGCAATCCAAATCTATATCCCCTCCTCCCACTGCTCCGCCTTTATTCTTCCCCCCCCCTCCTCCTCCTCCCCCTCCTCCTCCTCCTCCCCTTTGTCGCGCCGCCTCCTCATCCAATTCCATCGGCAACGAATACCCCGATATCAGATGGCCAACCCACACTCCCTCCTGTTTTCCAATGTCCACGTGTCTCGGCGCATAGTGCCCCCCACCAAGTCCGACCAGCACAGGTGTCTCCGCCGCAGCCATCGTCCAGTCTCCGATGCCCGCCGCCGAGGCATCGTCAACCCCGCTTTGCTCCCCCCCGGCGGCGGGGCCGCCGCCGCCATCCAGACCTAATCCCTCCCAGCACAACTCAGCGACTGCCGCCGCACAGTCTTCTCTCCGCCAGTACTCCTCTGTGCTTCCGATCTCAATGAACATGGCGGGAGTTTCCACGTGTGGGCCGTGGTGGGTTGCCTCGAATGTGACCTCGAATTCCGGCAGAAAGCCCCTCGCGTCGGCAATTTTCATCATCATGCGCAGGAAGGCGGCAATGCGCGGACAAGGGGGGGAAGTTTTCCCCGGCCTTCCCCCCGCCTGAGGGGTCTCATTTGGCCCCAAGTGCGGAACGCCAATCGGATGGACGGTGAAGGCGGGACGCAAAGACACGGCCGTGTGGCGGCTGAGGAAGACCACCTCCCTCACTCTCTCCCCAGTCGCATGCTCCCACCTTTCATCCGCCATATCCTCGAAGATGATCTTCGAGTCAAACTGCCATAGCCGCGTGTTCCCGCGTCGCCACGTCGGCAAATCTTCTACACACGGACCTGACTCCCAAGCGCCCAGCGCGCGCAGAGCGCGCGCCGGCCCGATCGAAGCTGGATCTAGCGTGGACGCCACGATCAGTGTAATTACCGCCATGGCTCTTGGATACGCAGCAGGGATCCCGATCTTCGGGGGAGAGAACGCTCACCTGTGGGAACACCCGCTTCATTCTGTAAGCAAGAATAGCAAGCAAAGGAACAGAACGACACAAAAGAGAATGGTCATGACGCACGACTCGTCTCTAGAATTGATTGGTCGCTTTCACTTAAAAAATAAAATAAAATAAATGCTTCTTCTTGATAGGGCAGGCTGAGGGGGAGAAATGGGGAAAGAAAAAAAGAACAAAAAAAAAAAAAAAAAAAAAAAAAAAAAAAAAAAAAAAGGAAACAGCAGCGATGATTTGCAAATCACCACCACCACCGAAGTGAGAACGAAGTGCAGATCACTGTTGCTACGATTGGGTAATAAAAAAAAGAACAGTTCAAAACGGGGGCGACAGAGACAGTGCTTGTCGTACATGTATTGATCCGCAGAGAGTGCATATATATCTATGCTTCTCGGCGATGTGTTCGTAAGAGTCAATACAACTCCGCATGTACTGATCATCTCTAATAAGGCGAAACGCGCAAATCTCCCGAGGCGTTTCGCCCAGGTTGGGTTGCGCGCCTGGCGCTCCTCAGGTGGGGGCTTCTCCCCACATCTGCCTTACGGCACCACCAGGGCTACGACTACGTAACCACGTCTTCCTACCCGCGACGGAGGGCTTATCAACAGAACCTTAAGAGGGCTTATCGACAGAATCTTAGATAATGGCGATAGACACGAGCAGGATGAGGAAAGAGCCGAGGGATAAGCGAAGTGGTCAGGACGTGGAAGGGACTGATATAGAGGAGGTAACCATAGCGAAGGCACAGCAACAGCGCTGTCTGTCAATGGAGGGATATAAAAAAATGTATTCTATAGCGAAGGCCCAGAACAACGCTGTCTGTCAATGAAGGGATACTGGCCTTGTACGTAAGAGGTGATGAACAGGTGGGGCTTTCCTTCCTTACTTCTTTGCCTTTCCTTGTTTTGTTTTGTTTTTCACCTTCGCGCTCTGATTCACAGTGTGACAATATATATATTTTATACTCTACTATATATGGTATATATACTCTACTATAAATGCTATATGTATATATTGTCACACTGAACGGAGCGCAAAGACGGAAAAAGACAAAACAAGAGAAGGAAAAGAAGGAAAGCCCCACCTGTTCATCACCTCTTACGCACAAGGCCAGCCACGTGGATGACAGGTTGAGCGCTGGCTGCCCCCATCCCCGTGTATCACAAGGACCCACTTGCACGCAGCCAAAAGGCAAAAAAGAGGTAAAGAAAAGGAGGAAACCAAACCTGACAAGGAAAGAAAGCCTATATATGGTATACGTACTCTACTATATATTGTCACATTGTGAATCAGAGCGCAAAAAAGGGAAAAGAAAAAAGGAAAAGGAAAAAAGGGGGAGGGGGAGGAGGTAAGGAAAGCTCCACCTGTTCATAACCTCTTACGTACAAGGCCAGCCACGTGGATGTACTCTCTACTATATATGGTACATGTACTCTACTATATATGGTTTATATACCCTACTATATATGGTATATGTACTCGACTATATATGGTATATATACATACTCTTCTTTCTGCACATCCCTCCTCTTGTCTCCGCATCGCGCTCCTAAAAGTACCTAGCGGTAACCATAGCGAAGGCCCAGCAACAACCCTGTCTTTTTTTCACCGTGTTCCCTGGCTCTTAGCACATGCTATGTCGGACCCGCACCTCTAACCTCCTCCTCCTCATCCTCCTCCTCCTCCTCCTCTTTCCTCGACCACTCTCCTTCTCCTCCATCCTCTCTTCTTCTCGTTCCTCCCTTTCAGTAAATCGCCTTCCCTGCCTCCTATCACATACTAGGAGCCGTGCCTCCCAACCTCATCCTCCTCTTCTTCCCCCGACCACTCTCCTTCTCCTCCTCCCTCTCTTCTTCTCGTTCCTCCCTTTCAGTAAATCGCATTCCCTGCCCTCCTACCCATGCTAGTAGCCGCACCTCCCAACCTCCTCCTCCTCTTCCTCCTCCTCTTCCCCCGACCACTCTCCTCCTCCTCCTTCCTCTCTTTCGGTAAATCGAATGAAGCTCCCCTATCACCATCTCAATCGTCTTTCTTGACTGTTCTTGTCAAGGCCGGCGACGACCTCACGGCCGTAGCTTGCCCCTGATCGTGTGCCCTTCTTCCGCCTCTCTTTTTCCTCTTCGAGTGCTGCGCTTTGTCCCCTCATCTCCTCATCTCTCTCCCCAGCTCGTCTTTTTCCCGCCAGGTGAACATCAACTGAACTTCCGGTAATTAGCCAATTTCCAAAATTTGATTGATTGGCAATTATTACCCACCAAGAAGTGCCAGGAAATTATCAAATCAATCCGTCAAAATCCGATTAGCCCGTTCATTGGCTAGCCTAATTAATTCAACACTATTGTCAATTGCTCTACCATTTAGACCACAATTCACCGGTGCGAGTAATTATTGACCCCATGCTTAACTGGCTGATTGATTACATACGATCAAACCCCATGACTACTGCTTGAAAATTACCCCCTCTCCCTCCCCTCAGAAGGGCAAAAAAGACAACAAACAAAAGGCCAAAGAAATAAAGAAGGGAGGTCGAGAGTAAACGCAGCTGTCCAAAGACGAACTCAACGACAACGGAAATCTCGTCTGCACCGAAAGGGCAAAGATTATTTGGTTTTGACAGAAAAAGAACAAAAAACAAAAAAAATCGGGAGGAAAATGGATCGATTTGGTGCAAGACTTCCGGCATACTCACACGAGGACTTTTTCCACAAAGCTCTGGACGTGATTGCAGTCAGATTCATCCTGGTCTCCTCGTAATTGCGACCAGATGCATTGTGAGAAGTGCTAGTGCGAGTACGGCCTCAGGAATCAAAAAGAGCGGAGGGGGAAAAAAGAGAAAGGAGAGAAAGTAGTGAAAAAAGAAAGAAAAGAACGAACGAGGTATAGTTACCACCGTATGGTACTCACACGAGGACTTTTTCCACAAAGCTCTGGACGTGATTGCAGTCAGATTCATCCTGGTCTCCCCGCAATGACGATCAGATGCATTGTGAGAAGTGCTAGTGCGAGTACGGCCTCAGGAATCAAAAAGAGCGGGGGGGAAAAAAAGCGAGAGAGACAGAGAGAGTAGTGAAAAAAGAAAGAAAAGCATGACCGAGGTATAGTTACCACCGTACGGTCGACGTCGTCATTATCTTATAAATATGAAATCAATATGCTTTCACGTGCGGCTCGGAGGGCGGGAAAACACAACTCCCTACCACATAGATGAAGAAAGGGCGGGAAAACACACAACTCACGGCCACATACATGAAGAAAGAAGCAACTGATTCAGAAGACAAAACGAAAAAAGCGAAAAAAAGACACAAGCATAATCCCGACATAGCCAACCAACCAAAAGAAACAGTAAGAAATTCCAACGGAAAAAGTCAGAGGGAGGACGAGCACGACCGCGCCAAAACGATAGTATCCCACGACGTCACCAACGGGGCGGCTAGCTCAGTTGGTACACCCCTGAACTGAACTGAACTGTTGAAATACGAGTCCGAATCCACATACTATCAGACTATCAGATGCACATACTATCAGATTATCAGATGAACAGACCAAAATCATTCTGAACTGCCCGGGGGAAGTCAGTTCGATGATGATAATTGCCC